TATATATAAACACACACACATATACATATACATACACACACACACACACACGTATATGTATATAGGGAAGCTCTGGTGGTGTAGTGTCTAAGGCATTTGACTGCTAACCAGAAGGCTGGAGGTTGAAACCCACCAGCCACTCCTTGGTAGGAAGATTGGGCAATCTAGTTCTGTAGAGCTACTGCCTCGGAAACCCAAGGAGGGGTCACTATGAGTCAAATTGACTTGATAGCAGTGAGTTGGGTTTTTGTTTTATGTGTGTATATATCTTTTGAATTCTTTATCAGATAGTTCTTTACTTGTTCTTCCTCAGGAAGATTTCCTAATTCTTCAGTTTGGACACTTGTTTCTACTATCTTGTCCTGTTTTTTCATTTGAGTTGAAGTTATCTATTGTCTCCTAGACATATTGAAGTTGTTGTCTTTGTTGGTTATGTGCTGATTTGTTTCACCCTAGTTTTATGTTTTGCTGTATCTGGAAGTGTGGGACAGGTTACTTCTTTGGTCATTAGCTGACTGTACTGGGTCACTCTCCAGCTTTCTCTATGTTGATGGAGTAACTGGTGGGAATGTAGGTGCTGGTTTTTGTTGTGAAGAGGAGTTGCAGTTGGGATGAGCAGGTGTTATGTAGTCTGTCATTAATCCTGTGGTGCAGGAGCTATTGGTGTTACTTGTCTGTTGGGTGAGGTTGTCAGTGTAGTAGCTGTGGCTGACTAGTGGAGAGTTAATGTGTTCTTCCCATTGGATGTGGTGGGGGTAAAAAAGAAAGCAAGCCAAGGAGAAGAAGGAGAGATGAAAAGATAGAATAAAAATAGATGATAAGAAATAGGGGAAGAGGAGAAAGAATGTAAGAAAAAGAGAGAAAACAAAAGTGGGTGGTGGTGGTGGTGAAAGGGATGAGGGTTTGGTAAAAATGAAAGAAGATGCAAAGGTAGAGGGGGTAAAGGAAGAATAATTGAGTAAGAAGAAAATAGAAACATGAAGGGAGGATAAAGTAATTGAGGAGGGAGTTTTCTAGTTATGTTCAGCCAGTGGCCTGGGAGCTAGGGATTGTGGCAGAATCTGTCCATTCACGGGAATATGCACCCACATAGGAGAAAAGAGATTGGTGCAAGAAGTGACCTCCTGGAGGGAAAGGCTAAAACTAGTTTTTTTTGTGCTTAGTATGAGATAGATCAGCCAGTGATGCAGGCATGGGAGGAGGACAGCGGCAGCCCCTGGGTCTGGTTGGAGTGGTTTGCTGATGGTGGCATTTGGCCGTCAGTCAAAGCCCCTGCGGTTTAAACTCATCACATGCCCCTCAGGAGAAAGGGTAGCCTTTCTCCGCAAAGATCCACAAGTCCCCAAACCCCAGAACTCAGTTCCACATTGTGCTGAAATAAGTTGCTAAGAGTTGGACTTGAGCCCACTGCTGTGGGTCTGATTTGGGATTTGGTTTGTTTGGGAGAGTTTTTGTTCCCTTTCCCTTACTCCCTCCTGGACTCCACAGCAGCTTAAGCTACAAGAGGTCTGATCATTTCCCTATATGATCTTCTCCCACATGCATGGCTTTAGTTCACCTTGAAATGCTCCTGATTTGTCTACCCTGTTGTCTTTAACACCTGTGAGTTCTGTTTTCTTTTAATTGTTGTTGTTCCTCCTCTACCTCCTTTGTTTATAAAGGCTTCTCTTCAGCCTGGCTGCCTTTTATCCCCCCAGTCACTGAACTCACTCCCTTTCCTGTCTTTACTCAATGTAATACTTTATCCTCTCATTAGATGCTCATAATCCCAGGATTATTCTGTTGAAAGAGGGATCTGGCATGGTCTATTAGTAGTAGGATGCCATCTTCCACATCTACCTCAGGGTCTTTGTTCTTTTGCTCTTCCCTCTGCCTGGAATGTTCTTCCTCATGTGGACATTATTAATTTCATGTGTCTGCTCAGGGTATTACTTTTTCCATGAGATCCTGCCAAATCTTGGCCCTACTCCCTAGCTATCCCCCTTACAGATCTTTTTTTTCCAGACTACATTCCTTTCTGACATTCTACCTACTTATCTATTTATACTTACCAGTTAATGGTTGGTTGTCTTCTAAAACGTAAACTTCTTGAAGATAGGTTACAAAACAAAACAAAACCCAAATTCATTACCGTTGTGTCAAATCTGACTAATAGTGACCCTATTGGACAGTCAGATGCCCCATAGGGTTTCCAAGGCTGCAAATCTTTATGGAAGAAGACTGCTTCATCTTTTTCCCATGAAGCAGATGGAGGGTTCCAACTGCCATGTTTTTGGTTAGCAGATGAATACTTTAACCATTGTACCACCAGAGCTCCTGAGGGTAGCCAGAAACTTAATTTTGCTTCCTGTATTCTCACATCTGGTAGTGTTAATTTTGAATGAATGACTAGGTCCATTCTCAGAGTAAAAGCCAAAGTCTTTATAATGACATCAACAGCCCTTCACTGACCTTTTCTTGTCGTTCCCCCCTTGCACTCTCTCCTGCCGCTCTGGCTTCCTGACTGTTCTTTGAATGTGGTATGCATGCTCCTGCCTCAGGGCCTTTGTGTATGTGGTTCTATCTGCCTGGAAACTGTCATTGCTCACACTTCATCTTGTCCTTCCTGGATAGCTACCCACATCCTTGGTACTCGCTTTCTTCTTCTCCACAGTGTTTACCACCATGTTACATATTCCCTTGTTTTGTGTCTCTCCCCCAATAAAATGTAAGCAGATGTAAACTCCACACAGCAGGAACTTTGCTCTTTTGTTCCCTGACGTATTCTCAGCACCTAAACAGTGGTTGGCATGTGATAGGTACCCAATAAAATTTTCCAAACAGAAGAATTTTTCATAGAAATAATCTGGAAGGGTATACACTAGTATTTTACCAGTTAGCTATCTCTGATTATGAATTTGGATGATGACTTTATTCTTTTTGCATACCTGTATTATATATAGTTTTCTTATAATGGTATGTTTGAATCATATCAATTGTATAAAGATTTTATATATTTGTGATTTTTTTTTTTTCTTCTTCCCAGATAGGAGCATGCTGCTATGTGGAATGTTCAGCTTTAACCCAGAAAGGATTGAAGACTGTTTTTGATGAGGCTATCATAGCCATTTTAACTCCAAAGAAACACACAGTAAAAAAAAGAATAGGATCAAGATGTATAAACTGTTGTTTGATTACGTGAGAAATGTCTTCAGTGGACAAGGAAACTGTCTTTTTCTTTTAGAAAGCATATGAATTGCTACAGCTATATGCAGACCTCTTATAATGCAGCAGTTTCAAACTTGAAAACAAACAAAAACTGCCCTCAGAATTCTATAGCGTTCATTTAAGAATGCTTCTTAAAGGTCCAGGAAGCAGTAAACAGCATCTGAAGCCACAATCTATTATAAATACTTTATTTCAATAGAAGGTACAATCTCTCAGGGGTTTCATAGTTTAAAAAGCTACAATCACATCATGTTGTATCTACATAAACAGTGCTGTAAATGGAACTTCTTGGCCCTGACCATATACATTTCTGCACACAGTCTTTATGGAATCTGCACAAAGAAATAGCTTCTCCTTTTGCTCCAATTAGTTGTTCTTGTATGTAAGTTGCTTTCTATTCCAGTATATCCAGAGTGGTGAGATAGCAAGGCCAGCCACATAGCCAAAGGTTGCTCCAAGCGTACAGGAGATGGGCCATACCTGAGAAGAGAATGTATGAGATCAAAAAAGGACAAATGTTTTATTACTACTTGAGCACAAGTTAAGTGTAACCTAAATAACCCTATATTAAAACATAATGTGCTTTCTTAAAGAATGCCAAAAGTGTAATAAGGTCATAGCTGCATTTACCATGAACACTAAAACTGTATACATTTTAGTTAATGTGCATAAAATTGTAACAAGGCTTCCGGCAATTGTAGATTTAGTTGGATGCTCCCAAAACTGCATGAGATACATGCTAAAATTACAAATTAAAATTTTGGGTCAGACTTTGCTATAACCCTGGACTCAATTTAGCTCTCTGGACTAGTTGGTAATTTCCCACCCCACCCCCCAAATCCTACATTGGCTGTGTAAATCAGATGATATGAGAAGTGTATATACTAACCAAACCACAAGAGACACTTTTCTTTAAATTGTGTTAAAGAGACTAGGTCTAGAACTCAAGTAGTTGTTTCCATAATGAAACTGATGTCAGTTTTCAGATAGAAATATTGTAACTGTAACAGAAGTTATAGACTGTAAGTTAAGTGAAACACTGATTTCCAAATAGCCCTTTCTTCAGCCATGTAACAGTTTGCTATATTACATCAAGCCAGAAGTAAATAATATTGATTTATGTAATCTATGAGCAGCGCATGTTGATGAAAGGCTCTGCTTTAAAAAAAAAAAAAAATCAGAGAAAATTTTCCTGTTCATTTGTGAAGCTTATTTAGTATACTGGAGCCATGTTTAATCTTCCTCTCATGGTACAGGCCACAGAACTGTGTTGGAGGTGAAACATCTGAATTTCTCGGTCTGTTACCTAATTAAGCTTTCTTGGGTCTCCTGTGGATTTGCCTTATTCCAAATGCCATGCAACAGACAAGAGTGTTAGACAAAGTTTCAGTGTTAACAAATTAATGCAGTTTTATAGAGAAGCATAACCAACCTTATTTTTTTTCCAGCCTTTCCTACATTTAAACTTGCTATTGCCTAAATTATGATTTCTTGTGTCTGTGGTGGGCATCTGTTAATTTCCATGACTTGAGCTTATAGCTATAGCTGTTGCACAGATTGGGTAATGGAACACTAAACTTTTATACTTGACAATGACAGCCTTAAGTGCTCATATTAGTCACAAATCTAGGATGTACTGTCTTGCTGTATGTCAGCTTTGTAGAGGTTTTTTAAAAATAAGAGCATCATCCTCCTCACTGAAGAATGGAGAATCTACTGGAGAACTAGCCAGAAGCCTTCTCACTGAACAGAATGTCGGATGTCTTCTTTGTCCCAGGAAGTGGTGGTCCATATTAAATCTTCATGGCCTTATGTATGCTCAAAGAGAATCTTACATAACTTTCCCGTTTAATTTGTTTTTAGATAGAATCGAAAGGCATTGTGTATTAGCTGAGTTGTCCAATACATGGTATGAAGGAAATAAGTAAGACAGTAAAGTATTATACATTTCCAACTTGCCTTTGGGGGTTTGATGGGGATTTTTTTTTTCCCTTCAAATTCACATTTCTGAAACCCTTCACACTTGGTTTACTAGCCACTGAAAGTTAAAACTGTATTTGTTCTGCCCCAAGAGAAGTGGACTAGGAATCTGCACATGAGCTCTCACGCCACCTCTGGCAAGAGCTGTTTGTTGCCTGGGCCTCGATTTCCTCATCTATGAAACAGGGGAGTAGGGCAGATCATCTCTAATGTCTCCCCATCTATCAGTTCTAATGATTCTCCTCTTTCTTATTAGCAATAATCATTGTTGGATGTTAATTTTTCAGCTTTACATTCTTAAGACGGTAAAAAATCATGTATATAGATCACTAGAACTCTAAGCGAAGATGAACCTATCATCTGAACCTGAGGTGCCTTAGGTACTCTATTGACCTTGATGGGGTTGGGAGTTTCCCATTGCTTATGAAGAGCTTTTCATTGCTTATGAAGAGCTTTTCATTGCTTTGATTCTTCAGTATTTCTTTTTGCAAAGTTCTTCCTTCCACTTTAATTAAAAAACCAAAGACTTATTTTCTATTCATAAGGAGATTGTAGAAAAACTGCCTTATTTTCAGAAGCATTTCTTCATAAAAGGTTTAGTAGGTTTCAGTAGAAATTCAGACTCATCACTGAAATGACTAGTTGAAACCAGTGAAGAATCTGGAAAATGAAATACTTCAAAATATTGATAGGAATTTTCCCAGTGAATGCAAATACATGGCTTCAAAGAAGGTCATGTATGAGTGAACTTAAAAGAAACTTCCATTTAGTTACTTTTTTGCATACAGAGAATATGTTCTAAAGTTCATAAACAACAATAATTTTAGGGTCTTCTGAAAATCTTATTTAATAGTTTGCTAACTTATCCCCTGGTTTTGTCTCTAAATGTACATTTTAGGTTAGTCCATGTCAAGTGATCACATTTCCATTAAGTCGAGCCTGAGGTGATGGTTGTTATGAAGTATCTGAGTTATTTTAGATGCTGCTTCCATTTGGTTTTTAATTATTAATTTTAAATACCAAATTATTGGTTCACTGGTTGTTGCTTTTAAATGACTGTTACTTTAACAGTGTCCCGTCTTAACACATGGGGTTACAAATAAAATAATATGCATAGTTTACTATTTATGTAAAGTATTGAACTTCTTACCTTAGTAGTTTTTATTGAACACTCTTTTGTAAACATTTGGGACAACATTCTTATCTCCGTGTCTCATGGGCGAGCACCTGCACTGTTAAGAGAGCACTGTCAAAGTGTAGGGAGAATGGTAATCCCTCATGCATTGCAGCCAAATTCCAACATGAGTTACTAAATTCTATTTTAATTATTTTGTAATTTTAGTTTGGCTCCTTTGCACTTTTCCCCTAAACAAATGCATACCACATTCACATAATTTCTTTAAACAGCTGCTATACTTCATGTCCAGTGGAATGCCAAAATTAATGTTGACCAAAAAGTTTTGTTGAAAGAGGGGTTAAGGTTTACAACATATGCTCTTCAATGAAAACCATGCCACCAGCAAATAAAAACACTGAGCTGACTTCCAAGAATTTCCTAGTAAAGGACTAGGCTTTGTGCTTACAAGAGTATCTCCTTAACCTTCTTGAGATACCAAACCCACTGCCATCAAGTCGATTCCGACTCATTTATAGGACAGAGTAGAACTGCCTCATAGGGTTTTCCAAAGCTGTAAATCTTCACAGAAGCAGACTGCCTCATCTTTCTCCTACAGAGCGGCTGGTAGGTTTGAACTGCCAACTTTTTGTTTAGCAGCAGAAGCTTTAACCATAGGGCCACCAGAGTTCCTTTTCCTGAAATAAGCAGTTCTTAATTGTAATACAGTAATTTTTTTAAAGAGAATTTCTTTAGAGAAGGGGGATTTTCCTGCTTTTTGTAGACCAAGATAGGGAATGGCAAAAGGAGCAGGTGATGGGAGTTGGGGAAGTTACTCCATAATAACCAGTCCTTGGTGCAAATGATTAAAGCATTTGACTGCTAGGGGAGCTCTGGTAGCGTAGTGTCTAAGGCACTTGACTACTCACCAGAAAGCAGGTGGTTCACACCCACCAGCCACTCCTCAGAAGGATGGTTGGGCAATCATCTGTAGTGATACCGCCTTGGAATCCCAAGGAGGGGTTGCTGTGAATCGGGTCCGACTCCATGGCATATAACAACAACAACTAGCCCAGGGCTTGGAGTTCAAACTCCCCCAGAGCACCTTGGAAGAAAGGCCTGGTGATTTGCTTCTAGTCTGGAAAACACTATGGAGCATAGTTCTGTACGGATGGGGTAGCCATGAGTCGGAATCAACTTGACAATAACTAACTTGAGAATAACAAGCATTTTCCCACTAAAAAAATTGCTTAAACTACACTTTGGCAACAGAATTCACATTGCTTTGTCAAATAATCCTAGCTTAATCATGTATTTCATAATTATCTCTTAAAAGTTTTCCATTTAAAATTATTACCTCTCATATAGAGATGTTTCTGTATAACATTCTTCATGCTGCAAATAGGATTTTTTTTTAAATTATGGTATTATCTATTGGACAGAATATTCAGCTGCAGTGCTATAAACATTTCTCCAAATGATGGTAATCTGAAGTGGCTATATGTAATTATCTTGTTTTGTTTAAGGAAAACAGAAAACTTAGAACAAAGGCATTCACAAAAAAGAAGTCCATTGTTAAGTGTCTGCCACCAAAATGGCAGTCTTCTTCCTTTTTATCCAGTTTTTCATAAACTTGTATTTTTTTTAACTTGCTAAATAGAAGAAACTCATGCTGCATAACAAAATAGATTACAGTGCAAGTGCAGAATTACTAAGATTACCATTAAAAAGGAAAATACTCAAAAAAATAAATTGCTATACCATGTGAAAAAAGTATCTTGCTCAGAGTGTTGTAATTGTCTTCTCCTGCCTCTAAATCAAATAATTCCTAATTATGTATTTTTCATCACTTAAACCAAAAGAGACTAGTGTTCCCTAAAAATAATTATAGTAAACTTTAACAAAGACCTTATATTACGTAACATAGTGTCTGGTACATGGTATCACAAGTTATTTTTCTCAGAAATAGAACTTTAATTTAAAAATTGATATAAAATTCATATGCTTTGTTATAAAAATCAGTATTACTGCTAGTTGAAAGACATTTCAAAATTATATAATTTCCACCTACAGACCACACTGTTCTCTTCTGATCCAGAGCTCTATAGACCTGTATACGTTTTAGGAAAGGGAAATATAATAATCTATGTAGCGTTTGATACTTCAAAAGCAGTTGTTGTCGTGTGCTGTCAAGTTGGACCCGACTCACAGCGACCCCTCCTTGGGTTTCTGAGGCAGTATCACTACGGAAGTAGATTGTCTCATCTTCCTTCCGAGGACTGGCTGGTGGGTTTGAACCGCCAGCCTTCTGGTTAGCAGTCAAGTAGAGAATCTAAATACAAGCACCAATTTTGATGTTAAACAGACTGCATTTCAGTCTTGGCTCTGCCATTTATGAAATATGTGACCCTAGGCAAATCACCTACAATTTTTGTGCCTTGCTTTTCTCATCTGCAAAATGAGGATCTTAATAAAATCACCTCTCGGGGTTGTTGTAATGGGTAAATGAGATAATGCACTATGCAGTATTTAGCACAGCGTCTGGCACGGAGTACAGGTAGCCATTACATTCGTATTATAATCGATGGTACTGGTTTTATTGATACACTTATTAGGCATAGATAAGATGCATTACAATCTAGAGCAGCAGCATTCTCCAAATACACAACCTCTAAAGCTTCTCCAGGAGTTACTGGTTGGTACAAACAGGTAACGCACTCAGCTGCTAACTGAAAATCTGGTGGTCTAAGTCCCAGAGGCATCTGGGGTGGGGGGGAGACCTTGCAATCTGCTTCTAAAAAATCAGCCATTGAAAACCCTATGGGGCATGGTTCTTCCCTGATACATGGGATCATCGTGAGTTGGAAGTGACTGGGTGGCAACTGATATTTTAAAGCTGTTCCTACTTTGGGAAAAAAAAAATGTATGTGTGTGTGTATATATATATATACACACAATTTACAAATATATAAATTAAATCATGTTTCCTTCTTGTCAAATATAATCCCCAGATATACAGTGAAACCTGTGAGTGCTGGAACTCAGTGGGAACACCTTATTCTTCTGG